CATCGCTCCTATTCCCCCAGCCAAGCTGTTCTCCCCCACACTGACAGCTCGGGCAGGTACACACTGAGTCCGCAGCGCTCCGGAGCCCCCGCCGGGAGACACACACTGAGCCTACAGCACCCACAGGGGGACACACTGAGCCTACAGCACCCACGGGGGGGACACTCTGAGCCCCAGTTTAAAGCACGCCTGCCTTGCCCTGGCTGCTATTTTCATTCCCCAGAGGTGCTCAGGCATATTTAAGATAAGGACACACACATTATCAGACCAAGACATGCCACTTAGGCACTCAGATGTACTCTGGTATCTGAATGCTTAGATGCACACAAACATAAATCTTTGTTAACACTGAAAATAGTTTTGTTTGGAGGTGGGGCAGGGGTGGTATCACACAGGGCAGAGAGTGATATTGCTACCACTGCTTGTAATTTTGGTCATTTTGCACACCTGGGCCTTGCATAACACTCTCCGAGAAAGTAGCAACACCTGACGTTTTATTTGGGGAGGGAAAGTATCCACCTTTGGAGTCTCTAAAATGGTAGGATATACAAGTTTTGAAATGATCTTTTGCTGATTAACTACTCTTTGAATTTTATAAAAATACTTATTCTTATGAAACCAGTATTGCCATGAAACATGGCAAAACATAAACAAGGTGCGCAATAATGAGGGGAAAAGAGGACATCACCAACTCTAAAACATTCAGTTCTTTTTAATCAGTTAAATAGTTGACAGGCTAAAACAGGATCTGAATCAAATGTGAAACTCAAATGTGAATCAGATTTTTTGCAACATAAATTGCACAAGAGTCACCTGAGTTTGGTTCAAAACAAAGTGTGAACTCTTCCCTGACTGGCAGAAATGCTGGCACCTCCTTTTTCTCTACGGCGGCGATGGACAACATAAGCTAGTGCGTGGGCCGCCTGAGTGGTCCTTCTTCATCTCAGTGGGTCACAAGATTGTCATGACCAATATGGTCTCCAGCATAGGCAACAGTAAAAAAAAAAATGTGTTGTGGGTTACATATAGGCCACAAGTTGCCTGTCACTGCTCTTCAGTGTGCAAAACCCCTCGTCTGAATTTTAGTCTATTGAAACACCAGTATGTGTGTTCCTTTTCTATCTGACAGCTAATACATGCTCTTTCTTTCTGAACAGAGAACTAAAGAGAAATCCAGACATGAGGAAGGTTTTGTTAGTGGAACCTGCCATTGCCATTTATGCTTTTGCTTTCTTCTTGACTGTACCGGTGATTCAGCAGTATATTTATCGGAGGATATGGGAAGAAACAAGCAACTCCAGTTTAATGGAAAATACTACTACTACTTACTGTGAACTAAACAAAAGTAATCCAGCCTATATCAAACAGAAGGTAAGGGTTAGGGGGTAGGGTTACCAGGTAGGCTCAAACAAAAAACCGGACACACCGGCTGGCCGGGAGGAAGCAGCGGGGTGGGGGTCAGGAAGCAGAGCTGGCGTGGGTTGGCTGGAGATCGGGGGGGGAGGCGGCCAACGAGAAGCAGAGTTGGTCAGAGGGGGGAGGGTGGAGCAGGGATGGCCGAGGGAAATTGGGGGAAGGGAGGGCAGCCGGCGGGAGTGGGGCTGGCCGGGGGGACTCAGACGGAGGAGGGGAGAATTGGCCACCGGAAGCAGTGCTGGCGGGGGGGCCAGCAAAGCTGCTGGGAAGATCAACCGGCCAGCGGAAGGTAGAGCAGGCGGGGGAGGGCATTGGGTACAGTGGGGCTGGCCAGGGAAGACAGGGAAGAGAACCAACCGGCCGGCCAGGACGGGGTAGGGGAGCGAATCGGCTGGCGGGGAGCAGGACTGACTCGGGCAGTGCAGATCCCAGGGCGCTGCTGTCCCCTGCACAGTCCAGGGAAAGCACGAGTCAGTCCAGCTACGGCTCCACCACGTGCTTGTCCAGCATGCAGGAGCACGGACCGGGCTGCCCCTCCTCCTCCTCACATGCGACCAGGGCTCCCAGCCACTCACCCCACTCCCGCCAGGCTTCCGTTCGTCGCCCAGCCGGAAAACCAGGAAATACTGGGCATTGCACATGTCCGGTATTTTTTGGATTTTTTTACCGGACAGAGCCTCAAAATACTGGACTGTCTGGTAGAAAACCGGACACCTGGCAACCCTATTAGGGGGTGGGAAAAGGACCAATTAAAACATATTACAAAGGAAAATTTGTAAAGAGTACTAAACAAGTATTTAATTAACAGTGGCTTAATTTTATAAAATGATGATTTCATTAACATATGGTGCCAAAGGTGTGTATAGTGCTTTACAAAAAATCAACTCAGAAGGATGTTCAGTTTCCTCTTTAGCCATTAGAAGTTGAAGGTGCACATTACCTTAGAGTAGCGGTTCTCAACCTGTTTACCATTGTTGGCTGTATATGCAGCTCTCTGTGTTATGTGCGCTGCATCCACATAATATATATAGCCCTGAGGATGTCACTTTGACCTTGGTTGTGTACTGATTGGGCTGCAGGTTTAGGGGTTCTAAACAATGTTCCCTCTAAGGTGAATGTTTGGGCAGCCACCCAGGGGAGATTCAGGTGCTGATTAGCTAAGTGCCCACAGCTTTCATGGCTGCTGCATATGCCTTGATACACACAATAAAATTTATTCCACACATGAAAGGAAAAAAATTACAGGGAACAATGCTCCTAAACCAGGCAAAGGGAATGTTGCAAAACTATAAGTAGCACTTGATGTGAGGGATTTTGCTCAATCCCAGATTTGAATCTCTGGGGTGCTACCATGAAATTATTAATTAGATATTGTGTATTCTCCCTGCTTAAGAGTAGATCATCCAAGTGTACCTAGCCCACTGGCTATATGGTGTTGGGTCAGGATTTACTGCTGAGGTAATAGGTCTCTGGCTCCATCAATGATAATAACCAGAAGGCTGCTTGTATGTGTGTTCAATGATGTGTGGCCTGTTGACTTATTCAGCAGACCTCAAGAGAGCCCCCCCCAACATCACACATCAGTTAAGGATCAAAGGTGCCTGGCCAAGTTTATTGTTAAAGTACAGAAATAGTTGTCAGCAGACACTATCAAGTCACTACTCACATATATTTGTAGCAATGGCCTCAGCTCAACCAGTGGGAAACCCCACTATCCCCCCTCCCAAGCTGGACTAAGACTGTTCCCTCTCCCCCAGACACCACTTTATATACAGGTACAAACAAGTTACACATCACTGCTGACACCCTCTGACGCTACTTAGATGCCATCCATCACCCTGTATGTAGTGGTTTGATTAGATCAGGCATGTCCAAAGTCCGGCCCGCGGGCCAATTGCGGCCCGTGTTCCGGTTTAATACGACCCCCCAGATAATTTGGCAATATCTATCTTTTATGGCCCCCAACGAATCCATATGTATTGAGATGAATACATTGTAAAATCTCAGTTAATGTCAGTTGGTCTAAATCAGTTATAAATATATTTGGACACAACATGTAAACTTGGTGTTATGTTCCTGTTCATATTTTTTGAACTTAAAAGTTGACAGACAATCTCTATTACCAATAATATGTAATGTACTTTACAATGTTCCTGACATATATTTCAGCTTCCTGGATTTTTTTTTTATCTGGCCTTCAGATATGAAAGGCAGAGTGATTTAACACCTGTTTAGATTTGTCATCCATGTGACGAAATGAAAAGTATGCCGTTTGCAATAAACTTTGCATAAAATAGTTAATTTGTGTTTAATTTTAATGGTTCAAAGAATGTCAGGCAAAATGGTCGGCCCTCACGCATGTTCACTTCATCAAATCTGGCCCTCTTTGAAAAAAGTTTGGACACCCCTGGATTAGATCATCTCTATTTATCATGCTGTCATTTTAGACCATTTCCTGAACCTGGGTCTGTATCTGTGGGGAGTGTGGGGAACAAGGTCTTTTTTGATGAGCTGATGGTACCATGTGCTTTCAACTTATGACCAGTACCAATTACTGTTCTATATCTAGAGTTGCTAAGTGTCCAGTATTCACCCAGACAGTCCGGTATTTTCGGCTCCTGTCCGCTAAAAAAATTCAGAGAATACTGGACACCTAAAATGTCTGGGATTTTCTGAATTTTTCCCTGCCAGGATGCGAAAATGCCGGGCACCTGGCAACCCTACAAACACTCAGTGTCCGGCTTCACCCCCCCTGAGCTTCCCTCTGGCCCCTAACACCTCCGACCACAGCTCCCATGCTTACCTGGTTCCCCAAGGCTGCAGGCACAAAATGGCTGCTGGCCAAAAAGACCTAGGGCAGGGGTTCCAAACTTGGGGTACATGTACCCCCAGGGGGTACGAGAAGCTTGTCAAGGGAATACGGGGAATATTTGGAAAATAACTAGATTATCCTAATTGAAATATTCCAAAAGTAGTAGTGTTAGTGAAAAATGTTGTGGATTCTAGAGTCTAGAATTTATTTCCTTTCATATTGAATAGGGGGTACGGGAAGGTTTACTAAAAGCCAAGGAGGTACGGGGACCAAAAAAGGTTGGGAACCCCTGACCTAGGGGAAGCAATGCTTCCCCTGGGTCTTAGTACTCAGCCGCTCCCCTGTTCCTATCCCTGCACTTAAAGGGGACATGCTGTTTTAATGCTGTTTTATTTTAATTTTTTTTGGCTTAATAAGTCCTTGGAGTCCTTCCCCCCCCCCTACAACTTTGGTCTCTCTCCCCTCTCCGCCTTTTTTTTCCCTTCAACAGAATTTTTTCCCAGTGTTTTTTTTGGGGGGGTGGGGTGGGGTGGGGGGGGTTAAGTATTTTTGTTTCAACCATCTGGCAGCCCTTTCTACATCTGGGCCTATTACCCATTAATGTTTTACACTCTCAGCCTGTTTGTGTCAAGTTCTGAGAGTAGGGGCCAGCCTCTTGCTCATAGCTTAGCTTTGCTTTATATTTGCTTTATATTAGTATATTATATAACAATGTTTTGTCCATTTTTCGATAGGCCTCCAACCAGGCCTGTGCTACATAGACTTATGTTTCAGGCCCTCACCTTACTACACCATATAGCACATTGTTGTCAATGTTAACTCCATTGGACTTGCTCAGAAGAATAGCTCAGACTTCCTACCATGACAATGAGTTCTTCCTCATTTGATAGGAGACTAGTCAGCTAAGGAAATAGTTAAAAGATGGCAAAGGTGAATTTTTGCCATAGGACTCTTTTTTTTCTCAGTCAGATCAGCTAATGTAGGCCACTTATACCACCCATTAATCCCGTTTAGTATTGCTTACTTGGCTTCTACCTCCCAAATACAATCCTATGGGAGTCAGAGTCCAGTAGAAGCATAAATAGTTCTTCCTGGCTAACTCCACATATGGACTTTCAAATAGCAAGAAAGCAGCTGTGCATGATCCACAGTTGCAAATAGAAGAGACCCCTGCAGCTTCCTGGTGATTTGGAGTAGGAAGCACTTTTAAGCAATCTGTTTATCAGTGTAGAGATACTAGTAGGCACTGATCACTAGCTCTACAGCATATAACTGAATACAAATACACTCAAAAAACCTGACATGGGGCTATTAAGACCTAGCACACATTTCTCTTGCAGCATCATACAGCAGGAGAGCTAGGGGCTGAGCTGGAATAACTTTTAGCACACAGGAGGGAGAGAACACATGAATTCTCCACTCAAGATTGCAACATGTGGCGGAGGGAGGAAGAGAGTCCTTTTCTGAGGGGGAAGAGAGGCTTCCACTGCAAGTCCATCTGATATTTAAATAGCTTAACCTGAATCAGAATGCATGGCCTCCTGAGGTTCTTGTGAAGTGGAAGGTTGTGATTGCTTTTGGCTAAATCAAGGTGTTTTGACCCACATCTGTAAAGAAATTCATGTCCTACTGTGATCTACAAACCCATTTGTTCAGCTGCAGCCCAACACTGTAGACAGCTAATCTCAAAGCACCTACATTTTCACTGTAAAAGCTTCCTAGGTGTTGAAGTTTTTTCCTCTGGTCTGTACATTGATTCCTCAGGCAGGTGACCTGACACCTATTTTATGCCTAAGCCCCAGAGTAATTTTCAAACCAAGTGAAGGTAGGTGTTCCCCTGCCAACTAGCATGCTCTGAGCATTCTTAACTCTGCACAAAATAGCCAGGAGGAGGAGGAGGCCTCTCTTTATAGCCTTTAGCTCAGTGGCTAGGGTACTAACTCCAGGAACCGGAGATTATTTCAAATCCTCCCCTCTGCTTTGTGAGGAGAGAGGATTTGAATAGAGGTCTCTCACTGAGCTATGGGATATTCTGAGGTGGGTCTTTTTTGCTGAAGCTATTCTACTTTGTATTTAACAGTGAAGTATTAATGGGGCTAAAGACAGTGTGATAATGTACTGAACTTTTGTGAATCATATTACA